TTACATAAGAGCTGGTTTATTCATAATATTCTCGTCACACACATTTCATAAATTCAATAAGCAATAGTATATGAACACTCCTTATTACTGGCTATTCGTATGCCTCTACGAGTTCCTTAACCACTGTTCTGGCTAAACTCCAAGTTTAACATATACCTTCTAAACGAAGTAAAGCACTAGTTTTCTCCTAACCGGTTTCTCTAGCGGTCTAGCCCTAACTGTCTTCTCATGGCGGTTCCGGGGCTAACTCACCTCTCCAGCGGTTCCGGGACTAACTGTCCTCTCCAGCGGTTCCGGGACTAACTAACCTCTCAAGCGGTTCCGGGGCTAACTTTATTCCCCCGCTTTCCCGCTCTTTCTGGCGTACCTTCTCCATCACTTCTCTGTCACCTGTCTTTGGTGGTCACGTTTGGATGAACGTATCTCATCAGCTGGTCACAGCTCACGGGCACTCGTCGAATGTTTCATCCCTCACTGTCAGATGTCATGGCGGTGTGTTCTGCATAGCTGGCTAGGCCATGGCTTTCTAATCACCCATTTCTTTCATTTCACACAGTGATGGATTAGTACGCCGTGTAGTGGTCTGAAATGTATGCTTGTTCATTTAACCCCTTTCTGCCTATATTTCATTACAGATTGATGATGACACCCACAGACAAATAATGACACCCACATAATGATGATGACATCCACATACAAATAATGACACCTATACACTATTATTGCACCAGCACAATGATAATGACATCCACATACAAATAATGACACCTACACAATAATTATGACACCCACACAATGATAATGACACCCACATACAAATAATTACACCCATACAATAATTATAGCACACAAACAATGATGCTAACACCCACATACAAATAATGACACCAATAAATAATTATGACACCCAAACAATGATGACAACACCCACATACAAATAATGACACCCATACAATAATTATGACACCCACACAATGATAATGACGCCCACATATAAATAATGACACCCATACAATAATTACGACACCCAAACAACGATGATAACACCCACATATAAATAATGACACCCATACAATAATTATGACACCCAAACAATGATGATAACACCCACATACAAATAATGACACCCATACAATAATTATGACACCCAAACAACGATGATAACACCCACATATAAATAATGACACCCATACAATAATTATGACACCCAAACAATGATAATGACAATCACATACAAATAATTACACCCATGCAATAATTATGACACCCACACAATGATAATGACACCCACATACAAATAATGACACCCACACAATGATAATGACACCCACATACAAATAATGACACCCACACAATGATAATGACACCCACATACAAATAATGACACCCACACAATGATAATGACACCCACATACAAATAATGACACCCACACAATGATAATGACACCCACATACAAATAATGACACCCACACAATGATAATGACACCCACATACAAATAATGACACTGTGAAACTCACACACAAATAACAACACCCGCACAATAATTGTGAAAATTACCAACTAATTACTATGATAATGAGATGCGGTGTGTGCCGGACGCAACCAATCACAGACACAATCTGACTAGAGACCCTCTTGAGGAGTTCTGCTTCGTGTCGCCGAGACCAGGCTTTGTAGATTTGTGGTCTCTGAGCTCAAGAACATCGCGCTCAGTTTGTATTCCTCGACTAAACCATCCCTGCTGGACATTTTACCTGCAGATGGTCACGTAAGTTTGCCCTTTCCTTCCGTTTGCTGTTGCGTCTCCACTTGTACTTAGGAAACACACAAAAATGGCCGACCAGCCAGCGATCAATCAAAGAGACAAGAAATAAATGTTTAAGACAAGATGTAGAGATGTCTGTGATAATAAAATGATATATTTATACAGTACAGAGGGTAGAGATCAACAAGCAATGCACAGATTGTTTCAATATGTAATGAAATGCTAATGCACAACAATATTTATCATTCATCATGGGGGGAGATTTGTTTGTTTTTCTTGACAACTAGAAACATAACATAAACAAGCATTTGTGTCCGTATTTAGATAGTTTAGTTAATTTCCAAAATTGATGCCGATAATAAGTCCAGTACAGCTGGCTAGTAATAAATAAAAAAGACTGTTTTCCACAGTACCTCATTCATGCCAGGGTGTCAACCACAAGCAGAGATTAGAGATAGAGATAGAGAGATGTTTGGTGTGAGGGATTTCTCAGGTCTTGTAGAAGATGTTACATACGGGGTCGGGAAGGTATTGGTTGTGGCGCTGGTGGTACAGAGACATGGGCGAGGTATTGATTGGCGCTTATGTTGCGGGAAATGAGAGCTATTGATTGGAGTTGATGTTGCCAGCGAAAGTGGAGTGGTACTTTCAGGTGATTCCTGTTGGACCCCAAGAGTTGAATATTATTATTATTAATATCAGAATATTCAACACTGAAGGAAATGAGACAGGCATCTTTAGGCAGCTTATTGATTGACTAAGTCAATGTCAGACAAAACTCACCTTGCCTTTGTTCAATAATCAGAACATGGTACACATGATTAACTTCCTTCTCAGCAGTCTTCTGCTCTTCGTGTCTTTCTCAATTGATCTTGTTAACACAACTTATCTTTCAGTTGTCTCTGTTTAACACAACTTATCTTTCAGTTGTCTCTGTTTAACACAACTTATCTTTCAGTTGTCTCTGTTTAACCCAAGGAGACTCACATTATTGCTCTAAAATCAGACAACTTTGGATTAAGAAGTGTTAACTTAACAAAAAAATTTTTTTAAATGGAAAATGTTAAATTTAGAAGGATTTGGGGGTGGTTAGGGGGGTGGGGGGGGGGGGGGTGGAGGCTGTACTTTTATCTGCTCAGCTTTTTATAATTATTATATAATTTGTCTCACTTGTGGCAAATAATTCTTAAAATTGCAAATGCCAGCCACCCATTTCTGTAACATTCCGCTGTATGAGCTCATCAACATATAATCTACACCAGTGTAACATTTGGCTGTCTGAGCTCATCAACATATAATCTACACCAGTGTAGCATTCAGCTGTCTGAGCTCATCAACATATAATCTACACCAGTGTAACAGTATGGTGCCCGTGCAGGTTGGTTGGAATTACATGCTGTGATAGAATCAATGTTTTTGAGCTTTGACAACTAACATTTCTGGAAAGAGATGAAGAAAAATCCTTGCAGTGGATAAGACACTCATTGAGAAAACCTGCTAACAGTATAGCTAGAATGTCTTTGCACCGAAACCCACTGGGTTAGGGGATAAGAACACTTTTTCCTCTTCTACACACACACATACACAAAAAACTCACAAAAACATGAGGAGAGTAAAATGAATCAGAGGAAGAAGACACGAGGTGAGTGGCTTGCCAAGAGTAGAACCATCTAGCATCAGTTGGTTGAGGTCCTATCCTCCATTGGGAGATAAGTGGGCTGGGGTGTCAGATACTAGTAGCACCTCTTGCAAGGTGACCGTCATGTCCTTCTTAGGGCAGTTCCTCACCACTGGGCTAGGTCTGGCACTCAGCTCTCTCCTGTGGCTCCTAGCAGCTGTCAGCATGCGACAGCGGCCACCCCCCAGACAACAACTTGGACGGGCTGCTGGCTAAACCAGGAGAGGGTAGCCGTCCTGGTTCTAAACCACTCTATGATTGGGATATGCCTACCCTGCATGCAAGACTTTACTCAGCGGATTGTGCGGACAAAACCTCTTTTTTGGTTCAACAGACAAAAAAGGTGATTACCAGCAGGCTATGTGGAGAGCTTGTTCAATTTGAGGAGGTTTCAAGCTCAAACAAAAACTAAAACAGCTACAATCAGGGACCTTTTATTTGCTGACGACTGCGCTCTAAACTCCAGCTCTGAGGCCAGTATGCAGTTTTGGCAGACTTTATACCAGTGTCTGGAACAGAAGTGGTATCTTCCTGCTGACCAAGCTAAAGGTTTAGAAAGCTGTAATTCTTCCAGTACTGCTCTATGCTTGTGAAACGTGGACAGTGTATCAGCGCCATGCTAAAAAGTTGAATCAGTTTTATATAAACTGTCTCAGAAAGCTGCTCAAAATCAAATGGCAAGATAAGATCCCAAATACTGTGGTTCTTGATAGGGCAAACCTGCCCAGCAGCCATATGATACTGAAGAATTATCAGCTGCGTTGGGATGGTCACCTAGCTCTCATGCCAGACTAGAGTCCTCCCAAAGAGAGTATTTTATGGCGAGCTCCAGCAAATGAAGAGGTCCCAGGGAGGACAGAAAAAAGCGCTATAAAGACACTCTCAAAACTGTCCTCATTTCTTTCGGCATCAACACAGCGATGTGGGAGGCTGTTGTGCAAGACTGTTCTGGATGGCGTACGTCCCTCAGACATGGTGCATCGGCCTGCCAGGCAGCGGAGGTTGCACAGGCAGAGAAACAGCGGCAGACTAGAAAGAACCGTCTCGCTAAAGCAACACTTACTGCGGCTTTTGCCTGTTGTCCACACTGCTCAAGAATTTTCGGGCTCACATTGGACTAATCAGCCACCTTCGTACTCATAATCATTGATCATTACTACTTTGGATGAAAAGTGGTCTTCATCACTGGTGATGGACGAACAACATGACAACAAGTGGTGGACGAACAACATGACAACAAGTGGTGGACGAACAACATGACAACAAGTGGTGGACGAACAACTGTGTAATGAGGATGTCTTGAAAGAGGCTAATTCAGAAAGATCATCTACATGCTGATCTTGAGAAGGAAACATGGAGTATGTTATGATGAATGAACGAACAATTAAATTGTATTTCCACATGGGTACAAACGTTAAGAAAGACAGAGGCAGACGGTTATGTGTGTTATTTCTGTCTGCTATCATTTCCTATCACTGACATGTTAGTATTTCTTGTCTCTGTACAGATGAAGTCTACCAACCTTTGATGTGGCAGTAGTATTGATGGAATCATTATGCAGGCAGGGGAAACATATCTGATTAAGCAAGAACCACCTTATATAGTATGTATTTTTGTTTTGTTTCATGCAGTGTCCTCCCTGTGTGGATTTTGTGACCCCATGTGGTTTGTGCTGTTCTCATTACACTGCTGTTCTCATTACTATCACAGTACTGTACTCATTACACAGCTCTTCTGATTACACAGCTCTTCTGATTACACAGCTCTTCTGATTACACAGCTCTTCTCATGACACAGCTCTTCTTATTACACAGCTCTTCTCATTACACAGCTCTTCTCATTACACAGCTCTTCTCATTACACAGCTCTTCTCATTACACAGCTCTTCTCATTACACAGCTCTTCTCATTACACAGCTCTTCTCATTACACAGCTCTTCTCATTACACAGCTCTTCTCATTACACAGCTCTTCTCATTACACAGCTCTTCTCATTACACAGCTCTTCTCATTACACAGCTCTTCTCATGACACAGCTCTTCTCATTACACAGCTCTTCTCATTACACAGCTCTTCTCATTACACAGCTCTTCTCATTACACAGCTGTCCTCATTACACAGCTCTTCTCATTGCACAGCTCTTCTCATTACACAGCTGTCCTCATTACACAGCTCTTCTCATTACACAGCTGTCATAATTACACAGCTCTTCTCATTACACAGCTGTCATAATTACACAGCTCTTCTCATTACACAGCTGTCCTCATTACACAGCACTTCACATTACACAGCTCTTCTCATTACACAGCTCTTCTCATTACACAGCTGTCCTCATTACACAGCTGTCCTCATTACACAGCTGTCCTCATTACACAGCTGTCCTCATTACACAGCTCTTCACATTACACAGCTCTTCTCATTACACAGCTGTCCTCATTACACAGCTGTCCTCATTACACAGCTCTTCTCATTACACAGCTGTCATCATTACACAGCTGTCCTCATTATGCAGCTGTTCTCATTATACAGCTGTTCTTATTTATGATCTTTTCATGTTGGAACTCGGACCTCCGGCCAGTGACAATTCAAATGTCTAACAGTTTGGCCCCTGAATAAACTGAGTTGAATAGCCCTGGCCTACAGTAAGACTAGGCTATCATATAGCACAGTCAGAACTATCTGTTCTTTGTTAAATGGTCAGATAGGACTAAGCTATCATATAGCAGTAGTCAGAACTATCTGTTATCTGTTAACTTGGTCAGATATGACTAAACTATCATGTACAGTAGTCAGAACTATCTGTTCTCTGTTAACTTGGTCAGATATGACTAAGCTATCATATAGCAGTAGTCAGAACTATCTCTGTTAAATGGTTAGATATGACTAAACTATCATATAGCAGTAGTCAGAACTATCTGTTCTTTGTTAACTTGGTCAGATATGACTAAACTATCATATAGCAGTAGTCAGAACTATCTGTTCTCTGTTAACTTGGTCAGATATGACTAATCTATCATATAGCAGTAGTCAGAACTATCTGTTCTCTGTTAACATGGTCAGATATGACTGAGCTATCATATAGCAGTAGTCAGAACTATCTGTTCTCTGTTAACTTGGTCAGATATGACTAAGCTATCATATAGCAGTAGTCAGAACTATCTGTTCTCTGTCAACTTGGTCAGATATGACTAATCTATCATATAGCAATAGTCAGAACTATCTGTTCTCTGTTAACTTGGTCAGATATGACTAAGCTATCATATAGCAGTAGTCAGAACTATCTGTTCTCTGTTAACTTGGTCAGATATGACTAAACTATCATATAGCAGTAGTCAGAACTATCTGATCTCTGTTATCTTGGTCAGATATGACTAAGCTATCATATAGCAGTAGTCATAACTATCTGTTCTCTGTTAACTTGGTCAGATATGACTAAGCTATCATATAGCAGTAGTCATAACTATCTGTTCTCTGTTAACTTGGTCAGATATGACTAAGCTATCATACAGCAGTAGTCAGAATTATCTGTTCTCTGTTAACTTGGTCAGATATGACTAAACTATCATGTAACAGTAGTCAGAACTATCTGTTCTCTGTTAACTTGGTCAGATATGACTAAGCTATCATATAGCAGACGTCTCTGTTAACTTGGTCAGATATGACTAAACTATCAAATAGCAGTAGTCAGAACTATCTGTTCTCTGTTAACTTGGTCAGATATGACTAATCTATCATATAGCAGTAGTCAGAACTATCTGTTCTCTGTTAACATGGTCAGATATGACTGAGCTATCATATAGCAGTAGTCAGAACCATCTGTTCTCTGTTAACTTGGTCAAATATGACTAAGCTATCATATAGCAGTAGTCAGAACTATCTGTTCTCTGTTAACCTGGTCAGATATGACTAAACTATCATATAGCAGTAGTCAGAACTATCTGTTCTCTGTTAACTTGGTCAGATATGACTAAGCTATCATATAGCAGTAGTCAGAGCTATCTGTTCTCTCTTTACGCTGATGGGGCCCAGGTGCTGTTTACGAAATATAATTTCTTACATGTGCTACTGTTGGCGGGTGTAGACCAGACATGATATCTCACATGTGCTACAATGTGCTATGTTGGCGGGTTTATACGATATATCTCACATGTGCTACAATGTGCAATGTTGGCGGGTGTATACGATATATCCCACATGTGCTACAATGTTGGCGGGTGTATACGATATATCCCACATGTGCTACAATGTTGGCGGGTGTATACGATATATCCCACATGTGCTACAATGTGCAATGTTGGCGGGTGTATACGATATATATCCCACATGTGCTACAATGTACAATGTTGGTGGGTGTATACGATATATCCCACATGTGCTACAATGTACAATGTTGGCGGGTGTATACGATATATCCCACATGTGCTACAATGTTGGCGGGTGTATATGATATATCTCACATGTGCTACAATGTTGGCGGGTGTATGCGATATATCTCACATGTGCTACAATGTTGGCGGGTGTATACGATATGTATCCCACATGTGCTACAATGTGCCATGTTGGCGGGTGTATATGATATATCTCACATGTGCTACAATGTTGGCGGGTGTATATGATATATCTCACATGTGCTACAATGTTGGCGGGTGTATACGATATATCCCACATGTGCTACAATGTGCAATGTTGGCAGGTGTATACGATATATCTCACATGTGCTACAATGTTGGCGGGTGTATACAATATATCTCACATGTGCTACAATGTTGGCGGGTGTATACGATATATCTCACATGTGCTACAATGTTGGCGGGTGTATATGATATATCCCACATGTGCTACAACGTTGGCGGGTGTATATGATATATCTCACATGTGCTACAATGTTGGCGGGTGTATACAATATATCTCACATGTGCTACAATGTTGGCGGGTGTATACAATATATCTCACATGTGCTACAATGTTGGCGGGTGTATACGATATATCTCACATGTGCTACAATGTTGGCGGGTGTATACGATATATCCCACATGTGCTACAACGTGCAATGTTGGCAGGTGTATACGATATATCCCACATGTGCTACAATGTTGACGGGTGTATACGATATATCCCACATGTGCTACAATGTGCAATGTTGGCGGGTGTATACGATATATCCCACATGTGCTACAATGTTGGCGGGTGTATACGATATATCCCACATGTGCTACAATGTTGGCGGGTGTATATGATATATCTCACATGTGCTACAATGTGCCATGTTGGCGGGTGTATACGATATATCCCACATGTGCTACAATGTTGGCGGGTGTGTACGATATATCCCACATGTGCTACATCGGCCTTTAGCCTTGACTGGCAGCTGGTTAGGGACATCATGATACATTCAGTCTGTGTCAGTAGCCTAGGTTTTGCAAACATGGTTTGTAATTCTGAGGTTCCCAGTTTGATCTCAGCTGTAGGCAGTTTGACAGCAACCACCCTGCATTGTTCTCGACAAGGTATTGAGAGCTGAGGAATCAGAAAGCATAGGCAAACTACTGAGCAGCCAACACATGCTTGCATTGGTTCCGCATTGCCCTGTAAAGGAAACTTAGCTAGCTTGTCACTACTAGGACAACTCTACAAGATCGAACAGTTAGAGCACTGCTGTTCTCATCCGGCTACTTTTGCAACAGTTTTTTCCCCAAACATATTGATATAATCTTCTCTTATTCAATTTAAAAAGAAGAAAAAAAGTGAAAGGCACACCGAGAGAGGCATCATGCTGCCCTAGCTTTGTGCTGTGGTAACAAGGAAACACCTGCCATTGCCATGGGGTGTTGGTTCCAATCCTCACTATAGCACTTTAAAACTGGCCAATGGAAAGGTGCCAGTAAATGTCTTTTCCTTATACAGGATCTGTGTGGTGTATCCTGTGTATCACTGTTAACCCTTTGCTTTCCTACTATCAACTTGTCCTTCCAAATATATTTTTTTATAAGAGTGATAGGTCTTTTCATGTGGCTGAAATATTTAATTTGTGTCTTTTATTTCTTTCGAAAAACGTTCTTTTTATTTCCAATCTTTCCAAAATCTCTGATATGATTATTTAGGTGAACTTGTTCCTCCAAACTAATGACTTTTGTTACTGCTTCTTCTAAACCAGTGATATATTTATTGTAGTTGAAGTTATGTTTTCAGTGCCTTTACCCATTGGGTACTGCCGTTCATGGTCAGCAGACACTCCAAGGTACCTCAGCAGATTGTTCCCATGAGAAGTTGGTTATAATGACCTTAAAGACAACACCAACATATTTCCCGAGGCCTCACTCTGAGGTCATGTCAGTATCAAAGACTCATCACCCACCAGCCTAGTCTGTATATTGTTGAGGAATTCACCTTTGTCCGTTATCTTCCCGCATGCACTGGTGCACTACTTGCCAATGTGTCTACATGTTCATTATCTGTTACTCTGGCATACCTAGCTATGTAGATCCAGGTAGGAGAGGTTAAGTGTGACTTTCCAATGCTGTCTGCCTATTCAGAGATGGGGCTGCTTGTTATGATTTTCTGAAGCATGATCTTGGAGACTGAAATAATCACTGTTTGTGTCCGTCAATGTAAATACTTTCTGGAGACTGAAATAATCACTGCTTGTGTCGCTGGTCAAAATAAATACCAGTTTTCTTTAATTGTAAAATCTTATAGAATAAAGTTTTCTTTCAGTGGTCAACATAAGTGTAAGAGTTGTTCTCAAGTTTTGCCCATTGACATGTTTCCTGATATGTTCTTGTTTGTCCCAGACTGTGACATGTTTCCTGATATGTTCTTGTTTGTCCCAGACTGTGACATGTTTCCTGATATGTTCTTGTTTGTCCCAGACTGTGACATGTTTCCTGATATGTTCTTGTTTGTCCCAGACTGTGACATGTTTCCTGATATGTTCTTGTTTGTCCCAGACTGTGACATGTTTCCTGATATGTTCTTGTTTGTCCCAGACTGTGACATGTTTCCTGATATGTTCTTGTTTTTCCCAGACTGTGACATGTTTCCTGATATGTTCTTGTTTGTCCCAGACTGTGACATGTTTCCTGATATGTTCTTGTTTGTCCCAGACTGTGACATGTTTCCTGATATGTTCTTGTTTGTCCCAGACTGTGACATGTTTCCTGATATGTTCTTGTTTGTCCCAGACTGTGACATGTTTCCTGATATGTTCTTGTTTGTCCCAGACTGTGACATGTTTTCTGATATGTTCTTGTTTGTCCCAGACTGTGACATGTTTCCTGATATGTTCTTGTTTGTCCCAGACTGTGACATGTTTCCTGATATGTTCTTGTTTGTCCCAGACTGTGACATGTTTCCTGATATGTTCTTGTTTGTCCCAGACTGTGACATGTTTCCTGATATGTTCTTGTTTGTCCCAGACTGTGACATGTTTCCTGATATGTTCTTGTTTGTCCCAGACTGTGACATGTTTCCTGATATGTTCTTGTTTGTCCCAGACTGTGACATGTTTCCTGATATGTTCTTGTTTGTCCCAGACTGTGACATGTTTCCTGATATGTTCTTGTTTGTCCCAGACTGTGACATGTTTCCTGATATGTTCTTGTTTGTCCCAGACTGTGACATGTTTCCTGATATGTTCTTGTTTGTCCCAGACTGTGACATGTTTCCTGATATGTTCTTGTTTGTCCCAGACTGTGACATGTTTCCTGATATGTTCTTGTTTGTCCCAGACTGTGACATGTTTCCTGATATGTTCTTGTTTGTCCCAGACTGTGACATGTTTCCTGATATGTTCTTGTTTGTCCCAGACTGTGACATGTTTCCTGATATGTTCTTGTTTGTCCCAGACTGTGACATGTTTCCTGATATGTTCTTGTTTGTCCCCAGACTGTGACATGTTTCCTGATATGTTCTTGTTTGTCCCAGACTGTGACATGTTTCCTGATATGTTCTTGTTTGTCCCAGACTGTGACATGTTTCCTGATATGTTCTTGTTTGTCCCAGACTGTGACATGTTTCCTGATATGTTCTTGTTTGTCCCAGACTGTGACATGTTTCCTGATATGTTCTTGTTTGTCCCAGACTGTGACATGTTTCCTGATATGTTCTTGTTTGTCCCAGACTGTGACATGTTTCCTGATATGTTCTTGTTTGTCCCAGACTGTGACATGTTTCCTGATATGTTCTTGTTTGTCCCAGCCTGGGGACATGTTTCCTGATTATGTTCTTGTTTTGTCCCAGACTGTGACATGTTTCCTGATATGTTCTTGTTTGTCCCAGACTGTGACATGTTTCCTGATATGTTCTTGTTTGTCCCAGACTGTGACATGTTTCCTGATATGTTCTTGTTTGTCCCAGACTGTGACATGTTTCCTGATATGTTCTTGTTTGTCCCAGACTGTGACATGTTTCCTGATATGTTCTTGTTTGTCCCAGACTGTGACATGTTTCCTGATATGTTCTTGTTTGTCCCAGACTGGCCCAGTGGAAACAGAGCATGCTGGGATCTATGCCGGTGTTGAGGCCAGTCATGGCAGTTCTACTGCCAGCAACTTAGCTGCTGAAGAGTCATCTGACTGTAAGTAGTCAGCAATGTAGACATTCTGGTCACAGTATGTGGAAACTATATCTATAGAAATGTTGGTCACAATATGTGGGAACTATATCTATAGAAATTCTGGTCACAGTATGTGAAAACTATATCTATAGAAATTCTGATCACAATATGTGGAAACTGTATCTATAGAAATGTGACAAATTAGGTGGGAGATAACTGTATAGAACTAGCTATAATACTGTAGGAGATACTGTTAGAGATGTGAAGCGTGAGACTGTGTGAGATACTGTTAGAGATGTGAAGCGTGAGACTGTGTGAGATACTGTCATAGTTTAATTGCCCAGCTACTGAGTTGATGCTGTTACATTATGGGCTGTGTATTTCATGTTCAATGTTTTTTTTTTCTGCTGTGCCCACAGGTTTGCATTGTAAAGTGCAATCAAAGTAAGTGGTGGCCGATAACTTGAAGGTGGAACCTTGACCAATGGCTGGCATGGATATTATGTTACGGAGGTGGACAGAATGAAACCCTGACATATACTAGACCATGGCATAATAATACAGTGTGTCTAGCCCCTATCCTCTCAGACAGAATCTGGACATACAGTGTGTCTAGCCCCTATCCTCTCAGACAGAATCTGGACATACAGTGTGTCTAGCCCCTATCCTCTCAGACAGAATCTGGACATACAGTGTGTCTAGCCCCTATCCTCTCAGACAGAATCTGGGCATACAGTGTGTCTAGCCCCTATCCTCTCAGACAGAATCTGGGCATACAGTGTGTCTAGCCCCTATCCTCTCAGACAGAATCTGGGCATACAGTGTGTCTAGCTCCTACAGTGAATCTGGACATACAGTGTGTCTAGCCCCTATCCTCTCAGACAGAATCTGGGCATACAGTGTGTCTAGCCCCTATCCTCTCAGACAGAATCTGGGCATACAGTGTGTCTAGCCCCTATCCTCTCATATCCTCTCAGACAGAATCTGGGCATACAGTGTGTCTAGCCCCTATCCTCTCAGACAGAATCTGGGCATACAGTGTGTCTAGCCCCTATCCTCTCAGACAGAATCTGGGCATACAGTGTGTCTAGCCCCTATCCTCTCAGACAGAATCTGGGCATACAGAATCTGTACAGTCTAGCCCCTATCCTCTCAGACAGAATCTGGGCATACAGTGTGTCTAGCCCCTATCCTCTCAGACAGAATCTGGGCATACAGTGTGTCTAGCCCCTATCCTCTCAGACAGAATCTGGGCATACAGTGTGTCTAGCCCCTATCCTCCTCTCTAGACAGACATCTGGGCATACAGTGTGTCTAGCCCCTATCCTCTCAGACAGAATCTGGGCATACAGTGTGTCTAGCCCCTATCCTCTCAGACAGAATCTGGGCATACAGTGTGTCTAGCCCCTTCAGACAGAATCTGGGCATACAGTGTGTCTAGCCCCTATCCTCTCAGACAGAATCTGGACATACAGTGTGTCTAGCCCCTATCCTCTCAGACAGAATCTGGACATACAGTGTGTCTAGCCCTATCCTCTCAGACAGAATCTGGACATACAGTGTGTCTAGCCCCTATCCTCTCAGACAGAATCTGGACATACAGTGTGTCTAGCCCCTATCCTCTCAGACAGAATCTGGACATACAGTGTGTCTAGCCCCTATCCTCTCAGACAGAATCTGGACATACAGTGTGTCTAGCCCCTATCCTCTCAGACAGAATCTGGACATACAGTGTGTCTAGCCCCTATCCTCTCAGACAGAATCTGGACATACAGTGTGTCTAGCCCCTATCCTCTCAGACAGAATCTGGACATACAGTGTGTCTAGCCCCTATCCTCTCAGACAGAATCTGGACATACAGTGTGGTCTAGCCCCTATCCTCTCAGACAGAATCTGGACATACAGTGTGTCTAGCCCTATCCTCTCAGACAGAATCTGGGCATACAGTGTGTCTAGCCCTATCCTCTCAGACAGAATCTGGGCATACAGTGTGTCTAGCCCCTATCCTCTCAGACAGAATCTGGGCTCATACAGTGTGTCTAGCCCCTATCCTCTCAGACAGAATCTGGACATACAGTGTGTCTAGCCCCTATCCTCTCAGACAGAATCTGGGCAATCCCTATCCTCTCAGGAATCTGGACATACAGTGTGTCTAGCCCCTATCCTCTCAGACAGAATCTGGGCATACAGTGTGTCTAGCCCCTATCCTCTCAGACAGAATCTGGGCATACAGTGTGTCTAGCCCCTATCCTCTCAGACAGAATCTGGGCATACAGTGTGTCTAGCCCCTATCCTCTCAGACAGAATCTGGACATACAGTGTGTCTAGCCCCTATCCTCTCAGACAGAATCTGGGCATACAGTGTGTCTAGCCCCTATCCTCTCAGACAGAATCCGGGCATACAGTGTGTCTAGCCCCTATCCTCTCAGACAGAATCTGGACATACAGTGTGTCTAGCCCCTATCCTCTCAGACAGAATCTGAACATACAGTGTGTCTAGCCCCTATCCTCTCAGACAGAATCTGACATACAGTGTGTCTAGCCCCTCTCCTCTCAGACAGAATCTGGGCATACAGTGTGTCTAGCCCCCTATCCTCTCAGACAGAATCTGGGCATACAGTGTGTCTAGCCCCTATCCTCTCAGACAGAATCTGGACATACAGTGTGTCTAGCCCCTATCCTCTCAGACAGAATCTGGGCATACGGTGTGTCTAGTCCCTATCCTCTCAGACAGAATCTGGACATACAGTGTGTCTAGCCCCTATCCTCTCAGACAGAATCTGGACATACAGTGTGTCTAGCCCCTATCCTCTCAGACAGAATCTGGACATACAGTGTGTCTAGCCCCTATCCTCTCAGACAGAATCTGGGCATACAGTGTGTCTAGCCCCTATCCTCTCAGACAGAATCTGGGCATACAGTGTGTCTAGCCCCTATCCTCTCAGACAGAATCTGGGCATACGGTGTGTCTAGCCCCTATCCTCTCAGACAGAATCTGGACGTACGGTGTGTCTAGCCCCTATCCTCTCAGACAGAATCTGAACATACAGTGTGTCTAGCCCCTATCCTCTCAGACAGAATCTGGGCATACAGTGTGTCTAGCCCCTATCCTCTCATACAGAATCTGGGCATACAGTGTGTCTAGCCCCTATCCTCAGACAGAATCTGGACATACAGTGTGTCTAGCCCCTATCCTCTCAGACAGAATCTGGACATACAGTGTGTCTAGCCCCTATCCTCTCAGACAGAATCTGGACATACAGTGTGTCTAGCCCCTATCCTCTCAGACAGAATCTGGACATACAGTGTGTCTAGCCCCTATCCTCTCAGACAGAATCTGGACATACAGTGTGTCTAGCCCCTATCCTCTCAGACAGAATCTGGACATACAGTGTGTCTAGCCCCTATCCTCTCAGACAGAATCTGGACATACAGTGTGTCTAGCCCCTATCCTCTCAGACAGAATCTGGGCATACAGTGTGTCTAGCCCCTATCCTCTCAGACAGAATCTGGGCATACAGTGTGTCTAGCCTCTATCCTCTCAGACAGAATCTGGACATACAGTGTGTCTAGCCCCTATCCTCTCAGACAGAATCTGGGCATACGGTGTGTCTAGTCCCTATCCTCTCAGACAGAATCTGGACATACAGTGTGTCTAGCCCCTATCCTCTCAGACAGAATCTGGACATACAGTGTGTCTAGCCCCTATCCTCTCAGACAGAATCTGGACATACAGTGTGTCTAGCCCCTATCCTCTCAGACAGAATCTGGGAATACAGTGTATCTAGCCCCTATCCTCTCAGACAGAATCTGGGCATACAGTGTGTCCAGCCCCTATCCTCTCAGACAGAATCTGGGCATACGGTGTGTCTAGCCCCTATCCTCTCAGACAGAATCTGGACGTACGGTGTGTCTAGCCCCTATCCTCTCAGACAGAATCTGGACATACAGTGTGTCTAGCCCCTATCCTCTCAGACAGAATCTGGACATACAGTGTGTCTAGCCCCTATCCTCTCAGACAGAATCTGGGCATACAGTGTGTCTAGCCCCTATCCTCTCAGACAGAATCTGGGAATACAGTGTGTCTAGCTCCTATCCTCTCAGACAGAATCTGGGCATACATTGTGTCTAGCCCCTATCCTCTCACACAGAATCTGGGCATACAGTGTGTCTAGCCCCTATCCTCTCAGACAGAATCTGGACATACAGTGTGTCTAGCCCCTATCCTCTCAGACAGAATCTGGGCATACAGTGTGTCTAGCCCCTATCCTCTCAGACAGAATCTGGGCATACAGTGTGTCTAGCCCCTATCCTCTCAGACAGAATCTGGACATACAGTGAGTCTAGCCCCTATCCTCTCAGACAGAATCTGGACATTTTTGGCAATGATCCAGTTCCCTGTTTATTTTATGATGTCCATTTTGCAAGCCAAACACAAGTTTGTTTATGATGTCCATTCTGCAAGCCCAACACAAGTTTGTTTATGATGTCCATTTTGCAAGCCCAACACAAGTTTGTTTATGATGTCCATTCTGCAAGCCCAACACAAGTTTGTTTATGATGTCCATTTTGCAAGCCCAACACAATTTTGTTTATGATGTCACAGTTTGTAGTAGGCATGACATTGTCATTTGAACACCAGTTCTCCGCTGTTTCAGACTGTGTCCATTGTCAGGTGAAATATGCAGGGAGCTGCCCAATACATGGTCCACCCCTCCTTGGTGATACATTTCAGGTATTCTGTGTGTGTGTGTGTGTCATTTGGTTTGCCTATCTGTCCATGCGTCTGTAAAACAGTTGATCAGTCCATCTTTACATTGGGTGTGTGAGTGTCATTTGGTTTGCCTATCTGTCCATGCGTCTGTAAAACAGTTGATCAGTCCATCTTTACATTGGGTGTGTGTGTGTGTGTCATTTGGTTTGCCTATCTGTCCATGCGTCTGTAAAACAGTTGATCAGTCCATCTTTACATTGGGTGTGTGTGTGTCATTTGGTTTGCCTATCTGTCCATGCGTCTGTAAAACAGTTGATCAGTCCATCTTTACATTGGGTGTGTGTGTGTCATTTGGTTTGCCTATATGCCCATGCGTGCAGTCTGTCCTACAGATATGACGGGGAGCAAACTGTGATCACATGCAGGGGTGGCCTGGCGGCACTGAAGACAGTGGTAGCAAAACAGATGGAGCAGAGACTATTGGTCCTTTTGTTCAACCATTTGGTCCTTTCAGTAATTGAGGATGCCCTAGGGATTTTAACCCTATATACTTCACAGTGTAAAAAGCTTGAAAGGGTTCAAAATAAAGGAATAAGAATTCTCTTGTGTTGCACACGAGGCACCACAGGTAGAACAGTGAGGTATATGCTTGAGCTGACATCTAGACTGTTACTGGTACAAGCCAAGGCCTATATACGAGTTACCAGTCACGAAAGACATATACTGCGTGGCAGTGAAAGATTTGAGGAGACCGGTTGAAAAGAGCAAAGTCATAGATGGCACTAGCTGAAGATGCCTTCAGGACATTGACCTCAGTCTATCATATGCACAGGGGCAGGAATGGGTCGATGTTAAAGCCTGCAACAGCAGTTTCCATCAGGTCATTATCACGTTAGGAAGAGACTGTAAAGAGTTGTGTAAAGGTATGGCTGAATTAGAGATACAATAACTGATAGATGGAAAGGTTGGGCTCGATGATTCAATAATGTGCACCAATGGTTCTGTTCATTGGGGTGTAAGATCTGGCTGGGGATTTTCAGCTAGAGGAATGATTGTGTCTGATTCTCAGTCGGCACTGTGGAAGGTTCAAAATGGACTAATGTGGAACGAGTGGAGACCAAGCATCAGTATGTAAACATTGCAGAGAATCACGTGGATATCTTCTGCCTTTCTAGCCCCCAATGGAACATAGGCCCTCAACCTAGTCGTTCTGTGGCGCTGTGATTTATGTCACAGGCGTGAGGAAAAGTTAAGTCCAACATGATGTGTATAAGTAGATACTCTGTACGTCACTCGGGCACCAGTCCTTCACTAACCTGGTTGTACGGAACCTCACGCAAGACCCCTGCAGCATGTCCTCGTCGTGCGGATAATGTCTGAAATGAGCATTAACAGAGCTGTCAGGGGATCTCGGAGTTTGGCGGCCCACAGAGGTGATGTGTCCTTGTGGCTCTCACCAGCCCGCCCCCAAGCGCTTGGGTGAAAAAGGTTATCAAAACTCATTAGGAACATGAGTATGTTTGCCAAATGTACAGCTAAAATTACAACCCTTGGTTAAAAGATTGCGGTGTGAAGAGAACATTGTTCACTGTACATCCTCTGTTAACCCTCAGTGTCGTCGTCACCGCGCTGAGGTACACCACAACAGCAACCATCCATAGGCTGGCCATCCATGTACATCCTCGGTTAACCCTCAGTGTCATTGTCACCGCGCTGAGGTACGCCAAGACAGCAACCATCCATCGGATGGCCAAGCCTAAATGTCCGACAAAACTAGATCCTACGGCGCACGAGCAAGCTCAAAATCTGACCGTCACAATTTGTATTGAACGGAAAAAGTCCAAATATCCACACCCAAAGACCCCACTCGCCCGAGTGTTGGGACCAAACTGATAACGATATGCCTGATGCAGGATGTAAAATTTTGTCAGGCTAACGGCTCGTCAAAGAAATCTAACGTGCGAAGAAAAAAAGAATGTACCTATTCGTGTGGTCACAAAAGTCTAAAACCCACGGGCTGCTCCCCGCTGACTTCCACAGGGCGCAGCCCTTGTCGAGCGGGAGGCCTGATACGGTTGTGAGGTTAAGCAGGCATGTGCAGGACATGACGATTCCTTGGGTGAGCCCAGAACCAGAGCGCCATGTGCCGGCTCTGCATACATGGAAGCCTCCTTGGATGGTGGGGAATGCCCATGATCTGCCCCTGCCTTCCCTTGAGGGCTAACTGTTCCATAGGGGGCTGCCACAAAGGGGTCCTCCGGGGGCAATACCTGCGGAGAAGGAGACAAAGTGGACACCACACAAATCAGGCAACGTCTTGGCCCACACAAAACAATGGCCACAGTCATCCTAGATATAGGATGTATGTATGTCCTATCCAATGCCAGCGTCTTTTCCTCACCTCTTGGTCCACTTGTGCTTGCTTAGTTCTCTTCCAAAGCTCCACATTAGTTATTCTATCATACCATTTAATTCCCTGTATTCTGCGCAGGCACCAGTTAATGGATGTCTGTAGTTTATTACTAATTGCTTTAATTATTTTCCATGTTTCCGCCCCATACAAAAGTACAGATTTGACATTAGAATTAAAAATTTCAAGTTTAGTAAAAATTTTTTACCTCCACAAATTCCCTAGTGCTGTGAAAGCTCCTCTTGCCTTTTGTATTCTTATTTTAATATCTCTATCAGTTCCTCCATCTTTATCTACATTACTGCCTAAATAGGTGTACGACTCCACGTCTTGGAGTGGGGTGCCGTTAAGAGAAACCACATTACTATTTGCCTGATTTATTCTCATTATCTTTGTCTTTCCTTTATAGATTTTTAGACCTAGCTGCTGTTATCTCGCATCAAGTATATTTAATTTATCTTGCATCTGATTCTGTGAATGGGACATAAGAGAAATATTGGTGCCTTCGGCCTCTTCACTTGTTGCTGAAGAAGGGGGCGCGGCATTTATGTGAGTTCCCCAAGTTCTGTGATGTGGATTCTCAATTCAACATTCATTAACTGAAATATGTTGTGTCCTCTTGCAGGTAGGGTTTGGTCCTGGCCACACGTCCAGCTCAGTTAGTCCAGAGCAGCACTACTTCAGTAGCAATAGGGAGATGATGGAACTGGCCTCCCAGACACACAGTCCAGGTAATTATCTCATAGACGTGGTCATATTTAGATTTTCTCCTTGGAAAAAGTGGGGATGGGGGGGAGGGATAACCCACTTTCTGGGTCACAAAGGGTGACTAACCTAACAGTGATGTGCTGAAACTGTGTTGGGCTGGAAGCCACAGATTTCACAGCACACACATTGTGCCAGCTGTAAACACACGTGGTGCCAGCTGTAAGCACACACATGGTGCTAGCTGTAATCACACACATGGTGCCGGCTGTAAGAACACATCGTGCTAGCTGTAAACACACACATGGTGCCAGCTGTAAGCACACACATCGTGCTAGCTGTAAACACACACATGGTGCCAGCTGTAAGCACACACATCGTGCTAGCTGTAAACACACACATGGTGACAGTTGTAAACACACACATGGTGCCGGCTGTAAACACACACATAGTGCCAGCTGTAAACACACACATGGTGCTAGCTGTAATCACACACATGGTGCCGGCTGTAAGCACACACATCGTGCTAGCTGTAAGCACACACATCGTGCTAGCTGTAAACACACACATGGTGCTAGCTGTAAACACACACATGTGCTAGCTGTAAACACACACATCGTGCTAGCTGTAAACACACACATGGTACTAGCTGTAAACACACACATGGTGCCAGCTGTAAACACACACATGGTGCCGGCTGTAAGCACACACATCGTGCTAGCTGTAAACACACACATCGTGCTAGCTGTAAACACACACATCGTGCTAGCTGTAAACACACACATCGTGCTAGCTGTAAGCACACACATCATGCTAGCTGTAATCACACACATGGTGTCGGCTGTAAGCACACACATCGTGCTAGCTGTAAGCACACACATCATGCTAGCTGTAAACACACACATGGTGATAGCTGTAAACACACACATGGTGCTAGCTGTAAACACACACATGGTGCTAGCTGTAAACACACACATGGTGCTAGCTGTAAACACACACATCATGCTAGCTGTAAACACACACATGGTGCTAGCTGTAAACACACACATGGTGCTAGCTGTAAACACACACATGGTGCCGGCTGTAAGCACACACATCGTGCTAGCTGTAAACACACACATCGTGCTAGCTGTAAACACACACATCGTGCTAGCTGTAAACACACACATCGTGCTAGCTGTAAACACACACATCGTGCTAGCTGTAAACACACACATCGTGCTAGCTGTAAGCACACACATCATGCTAGCTGTAAACACACACATGGTGCTAGCTGTAATCACACACATGGTGCCGGCTGTAAGCACACACATCGTGCTAGCTGTAAGCACACACATCGTGCTAGCTGTAAACACACACATCGTGCTAGCTGTAAACACACACATGGTGCTAGCTGTAAACACACACATGGTGCTAGCTGTAAACACACACATGGTGCTAGCTGTAAACACACACATCGTGCTAGCTGTAAACACACACATGGTGCTAGCTGTAAACACACACATGGTGCTAGCTGTAAACACACACATGGTGCTAGCTGTAAACACACACATGGTGCTAGCTGTAAACACACACATCGTGCTAGCTGTAAGCACACACATCGTGCTAGCTGTAAACACACACATCGTGCTAGCTGTAAACACACACATGGTGCCAGCTGTAAACACACACATGGTGCCAGCTGTAAACATACACATGTGTCAACTGTAAACACACACATGGTGCCAGCTGTAAACTCACACATGGTGCCAGCTGTAAACACACACATGGTGCCAGCTGTAAGCACACACCTCGTGCCAGCTGTAATTTAAATAGTGAGTGCAGAAACAGAAAAAGCGGGATATGCAACATCATTAAAAACCAACGGTTTTTAGAATTAAGAGCATTGATCTGACAGAAATGTGTGCTGCACAGCAGTGGCATGTGTTAAACATGATCCTGTCATAGTCATTTGATAAGTACTGATCAGAGAATAAACCCCACACCCTGGGTGTACCAACTGGGTCAGCGAGATCAGGAAAACCATGCGGGAGCCACCTGTCATTACATCAACCAAAACAGAACGGGTGGTTATTTGCCTAAAAACACCTGGAGGCCTACTCAGGAAATCACTACACTTGTGGCCATGTGCGACGAATCTGATCTGTCAATCAACAATGAACAGTGAATAAAACAGTGCAGACTTATTGTCCCCTGATGCATCGGTTCTGTTTCTGACCATTTAGAAAATGGCATGGTTGATCCAAAATGCATTCAAAGAACTCAGAGAGCAGTGATTTGTTTCTTTCTTTTGAAAGGTGTCGACCAGTGGATGCAGCATACGGTAACAAATATGTATGGAAGACAACATTGACAGACTGGGCACAACAGATTTGACAGGGACATGAGTTTATGACAGACCTTCCATGGCTGGGTCGATCAACAACAAAACCAGCAAAACTGATGCGCCAGTTACATGTGAACCATTGCCCAAGCATATGTTTGTTAGAAAACTGATGCGCCAGTTACATGTGAACCATTGCCCAAGCATATGTTTGTTAGAAAACTGATGCGCCAGTTACATGTGAACCATTGCCCAAACATATGTTTGTTAGAAAACTGATGCACCAGTTACATGTGAACCATTGCCCAAGTATATGTTTGTTAGAAAACTGATGCACCAGTTACATGTGAACCATTGCCCAAGCATATGTTTGTTAGAAAACTGATGCGCCAGTTACATGTGAACCATTGCCCAATCATATGTTTGTTAGCAACCTGATTCAGCACATCAGTAGGGAACAGCTCAAAGGGTTGTCTGTAAGAAGTGCAGTATAGGAAGATGTGTTCACATTGACTACCAGGAATGGTGACCAACCACCAGAAGGAGAAACCCATCAGATGGTGTTTGAACCACTTGTTGTGTTACAGAGCAGAAGCTATTGCATTTGTTGTCTGTATAGTCGCAGGTGATTAATTATAGTGTCACCACCTTGAGCCAAGCAGCTAACACAAGGACATGCAGTGAAAGTTTGCTGGACCAACAACATTCAAGTTACAGGTTTCCACTCCTAAGATTATTGTAAAACAACAGACCTTTTCCTCTCTTCTTTATTCAACTGCTCTCTGACTGATTGATTGACTGTCTGTCTCTCTGTCTCTCTGTCTGTCTCTCTCTCTGTCTCTCTGTCTGTCTCTGTCTCTCTCTCTCTCTCTCTCTCTCTCTCTCTCTCTCTCTCTCTCTCTCTCTCTCTCTCTCTCTCTCCCACCCTCCCCCAGCAAACCACTCCTCTACAGCAGAGGTAATACACTTTATTGTTGACTCCACTGATGAGATCTATTCACTGTTTCAGACCTCTACACCTGTGGCCAGTGCTACCTGCTCTTCCCCAACAATGAACAGTTGGACTTGCACCTGACAGGATGTCACAGGGACATGAAACCATCATTACCTCTGCAAGCTCTGTCCCAAGACTACAGCCATCAAGCCAGTAGGTTCTCCAACAAGAAATCTGACATCAACATTACACACGAGTCCACTGTTATGTCAGAAGGGACCCAGAATGTGGGGTCTGTAGACCCCGCTGCTCACTTCAACCAGATAAACAGTTCAGGGGCTAACAGTGCTGATAAAGAGACACTAGGAAGCAGTGATAGCTATGAATTGAATCATATGTACTGTCGTGGTGAGTTGATGGCTGAGGGTTCCAGTTCTCTTACACTTACAGGTGCTGGAATTCAGCAAGAGGGTGAGCCAGGAGGAAGGGCATCAGGCACCTATGATGATCGTGGTGCTGCATCTGTTGGTAATGATACTTGCAATAAAGACACAGATAACAAAAGAGACAGTGGGGCAAAGATGAATAAAACATCCCGTGAAGATGACAAACCTTTCAAGTGTAATCTTTGCGGTGCCGGGTTTGCCATCAGTGGCAACCTGAAGACACATCGGAGAATTCACACCGGGGAGAAGCCTTATTGGTGTGATATCTGTAACGAGACTTTCTCCCAGAGTAAGGGTTTGCAGATCCACAAACGAGTTCATTCAGGAGAGAAGCCCTACAAATGTGACATTTGTGGGGTGGCATTTGCTGTCAGTAGCAATCTGAAAACACACAAGAGAATCCACACCGGAGAAAAGCCATACAAGTGTGATATTTGTGGCTCTGCATTTTCTGTAAGTACTAATCTAAAGACGCACAAACGAAGACATACGGGAGAAAGGCCGTACAAGTGTGCGGATTGTGGCGTCACGTTCACTGATAGTGGCTGTTTGACCAGGCACAAAAAGGTGCACTCGGGAGAAAAGCCATTCAAATGTGATATATGTGGATATCTGTTCTCCAATGCTAGTTTACTGCTGAGGCATATACGGACACATACGGGAGAGAAGCCGTACAAATGTGATGTTTGTGGGGTGGCGTTTGCTGTTAGCAGCAGTTTAAAGATCCACAAGCTGCTTCACACAGGAGAGAAACCTTTCAAATGTGATATCTGTGGAGCAGGCTTCACCGTCAACAACAGTCTAAAAACCCACAAAATGATCCACACAGGAGAGCGGCCATTCAAGTGTGACGTTTGTGGTGTGGGATTTGCGGTTAGTAGTACTCTGAAAACGCATAAAAGGACCCACACGGGAGAGAGGCCGTATAAGTGTGAGACTTGTGGATCGTGTTTTGCGGATTCCACAAGTCTGCGGATACACAACAGAATCCACACAGGAGAGAGACCTTACAAATGTGATGTTTGTGGCGTTGCTTTCACAGTTAGCAGTGGTCTCAAAATCCACAAGAGATTACATACTGGAGAGAGGCCTTACAAATGTGATGTTTGTAGCTTTTCTTTTTCTGATGCTAGCAGCCTGAAGTCCCATAAAAGGACGCACAGTAATGAGAAGCCCTACAAGTGTGACGACTGTGGTGCCGCCTTCTCCACCAGTGGCACGCTCAAGTCACACTGTCGTACACACACGGGCGAGAGGCCCTATATTTGCAGTGTCTGCGGGGAAGCATTTGCCTTTAGCAGCAGTCTCAAGACCCACACAAGGATCCATACGGGGGAAAAACCGTACAAATGTGAGTTCTGCAACTTAGGGTTTGCCAGCAACAACACTCTAAAGATACACAACCGGAAACATACAGGAGAGAAGCCATACCAGTGTGATAATTGTGAGTATTCATTTGTTGATGTCCGCAGTCTCAATAGACACCGCAGGATACATGTTTGAGGGGAGCACACTGACGGAGAGGCTAGTGGAAAAACTGAAGGAGTTACTGGACTAGTCAGGAAACATGTTTGAGGGGAGCACCGTGACTGAGAGGCTAGTGGAAAAACTGAAGGAGTTACTGGACTAGTCAGGATACATGTTTGAGGTGAGCACACTGACGGAGAGGCTAGTGGAAAAACTGAAGGAGTTACTGGACTAGTCAGGAAACATGTTTGAGGTGAGCACACTGACGGAGAGGCTAGTGGAAAAACTGAAGGAGTTACTGGACTAGTCAGGATACATGTTTGAGGTGAGCACACTGACGGAGAGGCTAGTGGAAAAACTGAAGGAGTTACTGGACTAGTCAGGAAACATGTTTGAGGGGAGCACACTGACTGAGAGGCTAGTGGAAAAACTGAAGGAGTTACTGGACTAGTCAGGAAACATGTTTGAGGTGAGCACACTGACGGAGAGGCTAGTGGAAAAACTGAAGGAGTTACTGGACTAGTCAGGATACATGTTTGAGGTGAGCACACTGACGGAGAGGCTAGTGGAAAAACTGAAGGAGTTACTGGACTAGTCAGGATACATGTTTGAGGTGAGCACACTGACAGAGAGGCTAGTGGAAAAACTGAAGGAGTTACTGGACTAGTCAGGATACATGTCTGAGGTGAGCACACTGACGGAGAGGCTAGTGGAAAAACTGAAGGAGTTACTGGACTAGTCAGGAAACTTGCATGTCCAAAAGAATCCTTAAGATGAACCTTGTTGAAAACAAAACCAAAGGGGTTGGACTGAACTCTGTCCATGATATCAACAGATGTGCACAAGTTAGCAAGGAGGAATAGACAGTAAGTCTTGATGGTGATGATAGAAGCCAGATACAATGGAATGGAAAATTGCTTTGACGTATCAGTTTGGTGAAACTAAATGGAAGACTACTGCAGGCCTGAGGCTAATGAAATCATGATGAGAAAACTATTGTGGCCATGAGGCTGATGAAATCATGATGAGAAAACTATTGTGGCCATGAGGCTGATGAAATCATGATGAGAAAACTATTGTGGCCATGAGGCTGATGAAATCATGATGAGAAAACTATTGTGGCCATGAGGCTGATGAAATCATGATAAAAAATCTATTGTGGCCATGAGGCTGATGAAATCATGATGAGAAAACTATTGTGGCCATGAGGCTGATGAAATCATGACGAGAAAACTATTGTGGCCATGAGGCTGATGAAATCATGATGAGAAAACTTTTGTGGCCATGAGGCTGATGAAATCATGATGAGAAAACTATTGTGGCCATGAGGCTGATGAAATCATGATGAGAAAACTATTGTGGCCATGAGGCTGATGAAATCATGATGAGAAAACTATTGTGGCCATGAGGCTGATGAAATCATGATGAGAAAACTATTGTGGCCATGAGGCTGATGAAATCATGATGAGAAAACTATTGTGGCCATGAGGCTGATGAAATCATGATAAAAAATCTATTGTGGCCATGAGGCTGATGAAATCATGATGAGAAAACTATTGTGGCCATGAGGCTGATGAAATCATGATGAGAAAACTATTGTGGCTATGAGGCTGATGAAATCATGATGAGAAAACTATTGTGGCCATGAGGCTGATGAAATCATGATGAGAAAACTATTGTGGCCATGAGGCTGATGAAATCATGATGAGAAAACTATTGTGGCCATGAGGCTGATGAAATCATGATGAGAAAACTATTGTGGCCTTGAGGCTGATGAAATCATGATAAAAAATCTATTGTGGCCATGAGGCTGATGAAATCATGATGAGAAAACTATTGTGGCCATGAGGCTGATGAAATCATGATGAGAAAACTATTGTGGCCATGAGGCTGATGAAATCATGATGAGAAAACTATTGTGGCCATGAGGCTGATGAAATCATGATGAGAAAACTATTGTGGCCATGAGGCTGATGAAATCATGATGAGAAATCTATTGTGGCCATGAGGCTGATGAAATCATGATAAGAAATCTATTGTGGCCATGAGGCTGATGAAATCATGATGAGAAATCTATTGTGGCCATGAGGCTGATGAAATCAAAATGAGAAATCTATTGTGGTCATGAGGCTGGTGGAATCTGGATAGATTATGAAGTACCTAATGAAACTGGAAAGAGTAGTTGAGAAATTGGGAGTAATGGAGACATAAAGTGAGAAAGAGCATTGGAGAATGGGAATAATTAAATGAGCTGATGGAAGAGAGAGAAGTGGAGAACTTGGTAATAAAAGAAATAGCATCGGAGAACTTGGCAGGAATGGAGAAAGCTGGTAGAAGAGAACTTGGGAATAATGAAAGGAGCTAGTGGAAGAGAACTTGGGAATAATGAAAGGAGCTAGTGGAAGAGAACTTGAGAATAATGAAGGAAGCTGGTGTGAGATAACTTGGGAAAGTGGAGAGAGAGCATCAGAGAAGTTGGGAGTAATGGAGAAAGCTGGTAGGAGAGAACTTGGGAATAATGAAATGAGCTGGTGGGAGAGAACTTGGGAATAATGAAATGAGCTGGTGGGAGAGAACTTGGGAATAATGAAATGAGCTGGTGGGAGAGAACTTGGGAATAATGAAATGGGCTGGTGTGAGAAAACTTGAAAATAATGAAATGAGCTGGTGGGAGAGAACTTGGGAATAATGAAATTAGCTGGTGGGAGAGAACTTGGGAATAATGAAATGAGCTGTTGGGAGAGAACTTGGGAATAATGAAATTAGCTGGTGCTGTATCCTAAATAAGAAAAATCATAGAATGATAAGCTTTACTGATCCCTGGGGAAACCTTGTTGTCAGTGGCTTGTAGGAAACTTAACTGCCACGGGAATAAACCGTATGATGTGGAAAGGTTTTACCTCATGCTTTTTATGATGGCACCTAAACCACATGGTTTGCACCGGAATTATAATGTCTTTGTTGTAATGGGCCATAAACCTCATATTTTGTAATATTTTTACCACTTTTTTGTAGTGGAACGTAAACCACAGTTTGTAATGATTTTACTGCTTCTTTACTGCTATGAAAACCAAACCAAATAGTTTCTAATTGAACTACCGCATCTTTATTGCTATGGGAGACTGTGTGGCATTGATTTCAATAATGGTGTCGTGAGCTGATCATTCAGAAAGCAATGACAAACTACTGAAGGTAAAGTTGCCTAGTAAATCCAAGCGGCCAGAAAGTGCCAGCAGCGGTTCTGTAAGATCCTGTAAACAGGATTGTGCTAACATTTACTTTTATTGTCATGGCACCTTAACCACATAGATTCTAATGGTTTTACCATTTCTCTGTTTATATAGAACCTTAACCACATAGATTCTAATGGTTTTACCATTTCTCTGTTTATATAGAACCTTAACCACATAGATTCTAATGGTTTTACCACTTCT